AGGCATGATGCTGCTTGATCAAAGCTTTCAATTCCAAAAGTTAATGTGTGACAAAGTTACAAGAGATTGAAAACAGGATCATTCAAAGTATAAGTTAACAGTGCTATTTACAGCTCAGTCTCCATTCAAGTAAATACAAGGAGGTAAGCCACATCATGATGTGGATAGTTCAGTGCATGTTACAGGCTCGTCTCAAACTCAAAGACATTCCAAAAGCTGCTTGCCAGCTGCCAGAGGGAAACAGAGAAATAAATAAATACTCAAAAGTGTAACTATGTATGTGCAAACAGCATGCATGCTGAAATGGTCTCTCAGGATCACAGTTCTAGTTAAATCCCTTTTAATTGGGACTCTCATTTCCAACTGTTCAGGTATGAATATATAAACAAACTGATTTCAAACCAAACAAAACCACCATAGAATAATAATGCTAATATCCAAGAGTAATACTTTTGGAGAGTCCATAAAAAGACAATATTGTTTTTGGTTTAAATATGAGTAAATTAGACTTTGCATTCAGCAACTCCTTAGCATTTTCCATAAAAATAATCTGAAACAGCTTTTTTATGTACTTTCCTACATCTACTGGAATGAGTGAGTTACCACATACTGTAGTTCAGTAAATGTGCTTCTGAAACAAAGAATGTACAGTTCTGATATTAAAAATACAAAAGTAGCTACAGAACAATAAGTGAGGCTCCCGTATCAGGGTGCTTTACAGGGAAGACAAATCAATAATGAATAGAACTAATCTATAGGCCTCACATTTGTTCATGTGCATCAGAAATAATGGAAGAGATAAAACCCTGGATTATATACTAATGTGAAATAAGGCAGCATCAGCAATACGGTAGACCTGATAAAATGCAAGCACACTAATGGGAAACAGCCATGGATTGAGACAGTTGTTTGAATCAGACTTTCTGGAAGAGGTAATTGTTAATGCACGAGCAGAGCAAACATCCCAGCTCCACACCCCTCCTTATTTATTTATTTATTAAAACATTTTTATGCCGCCCCATTTGCCGAAGCCTCGGGGCGGCTCACATCACTTCTGTCAAACTGTACTCATGGAGGGTGACTTTCTGAAGAGCAGTTACCGTCCAGAAGTTCAGGGTGACTGAAGTGGATAAGCAGGGAGTGATGTGCCCCTCATACAAACTTTTGCCTCTTTTAGAACACCTAAACATGGCTTTACTTCCAGCTGGGTGTGCTTAAGATTGAACTATAATGAAACATTTCAGGCTATAATCTTGTATCCGTCTGGGTAAAAAATCTTCAGCTTTTACATGGAAGCATTTCACATAAATGCAGATTTTTCTATTGTCCACCGTGATCTCATTACAAGGGAAAGTGTCCAGAACCAGGTACCCTTATTAAAGTGTAGGAAAGGCTTTTTGTCCAATGTAAAAGAAAGCAGGAAGTTTTCAGTTGCTGAAAAGTGTTCTGTGGCAGAGGTTCAGGAAATCATGTGGTAAGTCTCCATGTGCTGCAGTCTTGGGGCAAGGCAGACGGAAAGGGCTGGTCTTTGAGCATGACCCTGTGGCCACCAGCCAGACACTGGCAAGCCAGCTGCCCATCTGAGAATCCACACATGGAGAAAATCAGCACAGCTAACAGGTCGGAAAAAAGTTTCTAATGTTTGTGTGTGTGAGTGGAGTTGCTGGATTATTTATTTTTCTCCTGTGTGTGTGAAAGAGACATAGAGAATGTATGAGGGAGTGAATGAATGGATAGCAATGTGTCTTGCAAATGGGGGAGGGAGTCCATGGGAGAGGATGAAAGGGGCTGTGTATGGAAGTGGGTATGTGCTGGGCAGAGGAAGGCAGTTTCAGCAGTCCCTTGCTATCTTTCTGATTTTAAAACGTGTTCCTTGTTAAGCTGTTGTATGCACATTAAAGGTTTTGGCTGTTTAGAAAACTTGCTGCCATGGCTAACTCTTGCATAAGTCAGCCTACCTCGTTTCTCGTAACCAGAAATTACTGTTATCCTGTCCTCACACCCACACCATATCAACGAGAATGACAATCAGTTCTAAAAGGTTACACAGAAAGCACTCTTGCAAAGCTGAGTGGCTCAGTGTTGCAAAGATGCTAGATTGGTGATGAATCATTAGCAGCACTGTCACACCGGCGCCACTAGCATTTGGAGTGGCTGCTATCAATTTCCCCTCCTGTTTCATACTGGTGCCCCTAAAGCCCCTCAATTCTCTGTGCAATGGGTATTGTTGCAGGAAAACATGTGTCCAAAGAAGTGGTTTTTTTGGATACCCCTTCCCCCATTATGGTCTTCATGATCATATGCTACAGTTTTCCCTTTCTGTGCTATCAGCAGCTAAAGAAGGCAATTCTTCTGGTAATTAACCCTGTCCCACCAGACCATCAGACACAAGGTGCCACCATACAGGATGAAATGGGAAAGGAAGCCAGAAATTGTGTATTTATGGAGGGAAGGAGCACATTTATGAATGTGATATTTAAAGCATGTAATTAAGATATTAAGTACATCTCATCTAAAAGTTTTCCCACTTTCACTGCCACCCCAAGACTTATGAAAATGTGTGTGTGTGGTGGGGGGGGGGAAATATTTGATCCAGTGCTAATAAAAAGTCCAGGATCTTGTTTCTTAGAGGAACCAATCAGATTTTTCTGTGAAGCCCACTGTCATAAGCAGCAGCAGCATCACTGTATTTCTATACCATCCATAGCTGAAGCTCTCTGGGTGGGTTACAACAATAATCATAGAATCACACACTCAAGTCCCCCATTCGAATTGTAACCAAGCCTGACCCCGCTTAGTTTTCAAGGTGAGGCAGGATCAGGCACATGTCTACCCCATTCTCCCTTTCTTGTAGATGCAGACAAAAGCTTTAGATTCACGATCCTTTATCGGCACTCAACCTGTTTATAAGCAGTATAAATCAGATTCCCTACAATAAGTGGGAGTAGTTACTGCCTATGTAAAGAGTAGAATCTGAACTGTAAGGACACATCCTCCCCTGCTTTCTGAAAGATCTTGACTATACCCTCCGGGAGGCTCATACTACTTGAAGGCGAGGTAGCCGGCTGTGACTTAATTGGTTCACTCATTTAGCCTACCATCTTTCCACAGGCTGTAAGAACACCAGCCCTCCCTGTTCTACAGTGTCCCCCCCCCCTTCCCAAGACAGCTTGGTCCTTTGACACACTGTCTAATCCCACTTGGTAACTTTGATGGTTCAGGGCTATTAGCCAAGGACAACCTTCTCAGCATCAAACTAGCTAGCTGGGAATGCTGTACTTTGAGAGAGCTGTATCTATCCCCGCAAGGAGGATATGAAAGAAACAAATTTCTCCCGCTGTTGCTGCCTGGGAAATGTTTTTCCGTGGCATATAGCCTTGGGGTAGCTTATAGCCATGATGGCAAACACTCACTGATAGACCTAATCTCCATGAAGTTGTCTAATTCCTTTTTAAAGCCATCAAGCTTATCACATGTTGTGGCAAGTGAACTCTGCAATTAATTAGAGAAACTATGTTTGCATGATGGATCACAAATACCAAGAATCTTAGGATCACAGATGTTATGGGGACTTGAGCAAGATATGAGTGGTTTCAAGGCTGCATCCTCAACATTCCAGTTAAATATTATGTGAGGTCAAATCCTGAAAGTATGGATGTATGCTCTTAACTGAAGCTTCAAAACACACACTTCTCTGCAAAGTCGAATAGATTTCCACCAACCTAAAACAGGTTTCTCCACCTGGCTTCATGTATATAATTAACTGAGAGCTGGAAACAGATACGCTGACAACAGAATCAAAATCTCCAGGGTCACAATACAACTAAATACATATTCTTCTATAAATAGCATTAATGCAGTCACACTCAACTGCACACCGCTGTTGCAATCTCTGGTATACAGAGGATTAGCTTGAAGTCTTCGAGTTTAAAGTTATATTTGCACCCTCTTGCTACTTCAAGGACATGTCAGCAGCAAAAGTATATTTGGTTGTTACAGGAATCATAAATGAATTACCACATGATTAAATATTAATTTTGGATTAATTCTTCCTATTTATTTTAATTATGATTAAGTTCCAATGGCAAAATGTTTGCACCGAATCATTCAAATAAAATATGGGCAATTATTTAGAAGCATTTCCCTCAATGAATACATGCCAAATGTGTCTAATTGGGTTCATTAATTTCCTTCTTTCCCGATGGATTTATACAACATAACAGCTATTTTATGTAACATGGAAGTTTCCTTGTAAATGTGTAACAGAAGCTATTTAGTTGACAATCCTAGTATCCCCCATCTGTTTATACTGGATATAGCCACACTGCAATTTCAGTGGGTTTTAAATTAAATAGCTGACATATTTAAATTGAAGCAGTATATTTTTCTACTTCAATAAATGTACATGAAAGATACTTGTAGGGGTTCCATAGCTCTACATTTGAGATGATAACTGTGCTAAGAAAAGTACCAAAATACATAAAAATACATAATACCAAATGTTTTGTTAATAATTTATACTTTTAATATATGTCATCATACCCTAATGATGTCTATTGCTCTCTGGTATTTTACCCTCCCTCTTCTTGTCTGCTTTTAGGATTTTATTAAGGGGATACTGGGGTCATTCAAACCCTGATTAAAGTGAAATAGAGGCAAAAGGAAATACTGCAAATCCAACAAATTACATTGTGCATGAAAAATCTCAATTAGCAATACAATAATTGCTTCACATTGATGCAGCAGTTAAGATTGGGAAATATGAACTATTCAGTATTTTTGATGATGATGATTCACATCACTAGGAAGCTTGGAACAGGATGAAAACATTAAAAATTGGTATTTTTTGAGGCTGCCTTGGAATTCAGTGGGAGGGCCAGTTCATGTGTTTTCCTCCCCAAGTGCAAGAGTGTTAAACAATGTCAGCTCCTAATGGGCAACTACGATGAGCATCAATTTGCAATCATTAGTATCATATGCTGCAAGAAAGCCATACTTACTCTCTGTCAATGACAAGACATGTAACAGCTTCAGCAGCAATAACGTTGGCGGTTCTGACATCTTCCCTGAAAGAATAACAACATACATTTTACACATGCATAGTCACCTGCAAATTGTCTCCACAGTACTGTAAAATATTAGCACAATAATACATCCTGAAAGGAAGATTACATTTGAGATATTTATCATATATAAAGCATTTAGAAAAAAGTTTACTTTAAATCTTCCAGCTTTTTAGAAATATCCAATACAACATTAAGAGAAGAAAACGTTTTCCCAGCAGATAAGCTTCTTGGTTATTCATATACCTTAAACAAATTTATTTATCATGACTGCGCCTGTGATTTAGCAATTCAGTGCTGTAGGAATGGAGAGTTAATTCAGCACCATGGGCCACATAGGATGCATAAATATGTAACTGAGCACTATCATATCAACATAACTTTCATGTCATTTTTATCCTAAGCAAGTTGTTCGGAAGATTGCATCCAAGACTACCTGAGATCACAACAGACTTGTATATTAAAATGTGTGCCTTTCTAAAAAGGCAGGTGGGTTGCAATGCAAATGGTCCAGGCCACGGAACTTTCCCTTCATTTTGAATTCCTCTTCAGGAGGACTCGTTACACACAGGCTGCTTGTACCAAAGTCCACTTCCTGAGGGGAAGGGGGCAGAGAGGACTGGAAGAGGGAAAGGACTTCTCTCTCTATCTCTTCCCCCACCCTCTGCCCCATGTGTGTGTGTACACACACACACACAGAGAGAGAGAGAGAGAGAGAGACAAAGAGAGACAAAGAGAGACATTTATTTATTCAAGCATGCATTTAAAAATGCTGTATACCTCTAGCACTGTGATGATATTGCTGTCTGAAGGTTGCTTGAAATACCACCTTGGGAACGACTTATAATATTCTACAGAAATACTGTTCAGCCAAAAGAGGTTTTACAAAATAACTCTCTCCACCTTTTGATGAAAATGCTACTTTCCTATTATATACAAGTATACAAATTGACCCTTGGTATTGTAAATCTAAATGCAATATCAGTCATATTGACAATGTGATATGGCTTTTTAAAAAGGAACGTCTATGAATAACATTATGGTACCAGCATTCGTGTAATAGCACATAAATCCTGACTGGGACCTGCAAAGCAGGGCTATGCGCAGAATGCTGTGCTCACATGTTGCCATCCATATATGCTTTCACTGCTGACTTTGGCTAACTTCATGTATAGCTCTATATGTGCTGCCCAGAGAAAATAATTTCATAGTGCCAAGCTAGGGAAATAAAGCACACGGTTTGCATTTGTTTGCATGTCTTCTCTTTTAAGTGCTTTGTAATATTGGACCACCATCCTGGTCATAAAACATGTTTAAAAAGTCACACATTCACAGAACAGAATTTACTAGAGCTAGTTTATAAATCAAAGTCAAACATTACAATGAGGAAGATTTATGAAAAGGAGAAGAATATAGTAATATTTACTTAAGTACACATCTTCCCTCCACCTTCCACAACTGTCCAATGTATGGTTTTCATCGTGATCCATAATACTACTACATTAATACCAATTTAATGCCAAGTTGATAGGTTAAAATGTGGGAAGTGTTACTCTTTTCAAACATGCAGTAACTTATTAATAGCCATTTTATTAGTCTGGGTGAGATGTTAATTATAATACTCTACTCTAAAAAGCCACAATGCTAAGCCCCCGTCCAAAATATACAGCATAAAATCATTAGGAAAATTAAAATACAATATGGTGAGAACTAACTCAGATGTTTTTTCAGCTTCGAGACTGTAATCTTCATCACTACTTCCCGAGAGATAGCGCTCTTCGTCAGAATCACTTTCACTGTCTGAATAGCCCATAGCTAAGAGTTTGCATCCACCATTTTCCTTCCTAGGAAAACTACTGTTTTCTCCTGTCCAGTGACCCTACCTTGCACTCTGGACTAGCTCTGGAATTGCACAGACCATCCAACTTAAAATCTCTAGACTGGAAAGGTCACAGCTGCTCTGGGAGTATCTCCTGTGTATCACTGGAAAATGTAAGCACAGTATATGGCTGAGCTACAAAGAAGTACAAAGTTCATCTACTTAAGCGCACCTCCTCTCATTCCGAGGACTTTCTCAACAGCTCTGGTGCACTGAGCTGTTCACCCGTCAACAGGCTGAGCAGCAAATGCTGTGTACCAGCACATGCTTAAATATGACACCTGCTAACTCACACAAGGGACTGAGCTAATCTGCATGCCAGACCCTTCCTATTGCTTGCCTGTCTAGCTCAGCATTTTCTGCTAGTTCCCTGAAAGACAGATATTTCATTATCCTCTGTCAAACTGAAGATGTTTCATGCAACCAACACAGCGTTTCAAGATGCACTTAAATTATAGGAAACAAGCCACTGGACAATGTGAGAAGTACTGAATAGAGCAATAGGCATTCTGGAAAAGAAGATATGTGATTGCTCAGGAGTAATAATATACTTAAATATAATTCATTATATTTATGTAAACTTACTTGCAACTTTAATGCATGTATTGTCACTTATTTGTTTAGTGGGAAGAAAATGTAGCATCCAGCATCTTTTTCTTCTCTTTCATTTACATCATCTTGCAACTTATCTAACAAGAGGATGCAATCCTGCCTAATCTTGGAAGCCTGGATGGGTGACTTGAGTGTATGATTCTATCCCAGAGAGTTTTGGCTATGGACAGTATTAAAATGTAATAAAAATAGTGATGATACATGCAAATTTTATTACTACTACTATTATTATCCCATTTGCATTTATATACCCAAGGTGGCTTACACATCTTCTTATCCTCATAACAACAACCCTGTGAGGTAGGTTGGGCTGAGAGAGTGAGTGGTCCAAAGTCACCCAGTAAGCTTCATGGCCTAGTGGGAATTAGAACCTGGATCTCCTGGTTCCTCAGTCCAGCACTCTAATCACTACACACATCTGGCTCAGAGTATGCCTCTAGAAACTTTTTCCATCAGGCATTTGCCAGGCCCCTTCCTTGCAGGTCTTCGGGAAACCTTTGAAAATCCACTGTTTTTTACTGGCAGAATGTCTTGGCCTTCTACATTTCCTGCTAAATTCTGTTTTTATTGATTTGTCTAAGTAAACACTGTTTGTATGATTTTTTTATTAAATTTATACTTACTGGTCGAGTACACTGCCTTGAAAATTACACCCTTAAAGAAAGCCCAAAATGAGTTTAAAAATAAATAATTAAAAAGAACTATAATGTCTGAAAAACATCCATTATTGTATATTTATTGTACTTTAGGTGTTTGGTGCAAAATATCTTAGGTTTTAAAACTGGAATGCTACATGTTCATTTCACTAGGATCCTCACAAAGAACTGTTATTGCTGTTTTGAGTGCAGAAATGCTGCCCATAATCTAACATAAGAGAATCTACACTTTAGTCAAACTGAAATGAATAACAAATAGGTTATGACTAATATGATACCATGAAACTAAAGGGTTATAGACAATGGCATTCATTTTCCTAGTGCAAAACTTTTATTCCTTGCAGAAACAGCTTTAATTCTTATGCAAATGTCAAATCCAATATTTTGAGACTGTTCATTTAAACCATTATACAAATTGTAGTGCAACCTTTAGCAGAACTATATCAGGTACTGTAATATTTTTGGTAACATAAAGTGGGACATAAATGAAAACAAGCTCAACTAGGACAAGTCATCCTAGCCTAGCATGATCGTAATGAACTGCAAATGATCTGAAGAACAGTTTGTCTTGTGCAACAGCATTTCTGCAAGCTGTAGAAGCTTTGTGCTCGCAGAATGAAACTTTGGATCCAACCCAGGGTGCCCATAACTTAATCTGGATTAAACACATGGGTATCAGTATCCTTAATATTATGTGAAATTGTCAACAAAGTGCCATGCATGTTTTCAGTGATGTAGGGTGAGTACTAATGACTTAGTCCAAGCGGCCGGGAGAGTCATGGTATTCTCAACCTCTGTCTCCTATACCCAACAACAGAACACCATCTGTTTAATCACACTATCACCAAGCAAATGTGAGTTAAAACTCACTTTGCCTGCCAAGCCCTACTGAAATAAATGGTATGCCATTTCAGATGAGACAAGAGAGTTTCCTAACTGAGTATATAGCCTTATTTGACATAATATTTATGACCTTGGAAGCTGAAAAAAGGATACCCACACTCTGAGGCAAAACATATGGATTACTGGAGACACTTTATATAATACAGTATTTCGACTGGAAAAATGGTTTCTACTAAACTTTTGACAATGCACCTTCCAGAATTAGCCACCAGAATAAGGGATGGAGGGACCCCTGCCCACAAGTGTCCCCAGGAGGCTGTACAGGTCACAGTCCAAGAATCTCATTGCACAATATCATATGGAAGGGCGAAGGAAGCAGTGCAGGGAATGGGAATGAATTTCATGGCTGCTATGCTACAGTATATAATTTATGGCACCATATGTGATACTTCCTAAAGATTCTGACTAATTGTCACTGGAGTCCCCCTAAGCCAAGCTCTTCAAGTACAAGGGGACTCTTGATTAAGACAGTGAAGCCACAGCCTTCTATTGTGCTCAATCTGTGCCAAGCAGGTGGTCATGCTGAACTGCCAGTATTAATCATTTTTATCCACCAAAGCAGATTCAAATTACAGGGCAGACAGAAGAGAATGATGTCAGCATCGTGCAATTCACATCTTCGAGATCAGATGTTTCTGAACACTCTCCTTTGTCAGGATTTAGTCATGCCCTTCCTGAACGTCCCTTTTAAGCAGCTCCCTGCCATCAGATTCCTTTTCTTAACTCCCTCACTGAGAAGCACCACAGCAGCGCCACTGCTGCCAAGGCATATTTATTCTTGCTTTACACGTATTAGTGTGACTGCATCCCCTTGCAAACGGCAGACATACTAGAGCTGAGATTAAATGATTTGGCTCTCCCTCTCACCAACCAACGCTGCATTAGCATTACCTTCACAAAAGCAAGTTGAAGAACATGTGCAATGTATGGCTCCAGCTTTAGACTATAGCTGC